TAAAGCTCCAACAGCAAGAGCATAAGGTACCTTTGTAATCTTTTGCTTACCTCCTCCTTTTGTGTTCCCATGTCTGTTCACCTTGGTAAATATGGTAGCTGGAGAGAAGAGAAGAAAGAAGCACTAGATGAGTTCAAAACAATGTTTCTAAACACGTTAGCAAGTAAGAGCACAGTGCTGACCAGTGGGAGGCTTTGAGATAGTACAATCTAAGGTAGCAAGAAGAATCCTGATGGGCTTCTTTAAGCCTGGGAGAAAGGTCAAGGCAATACATATTTGTGTCCAACACATTCCCACACATTCCTGCATAGAAGAATTCAACTCAGGCAGATAGGAGGTCCTCTGTCTCCCAGATGAGCCTTGTATGTGTATAAATGCAGGGATTGGTCTGAGGATGAGCAAGCCCTGTGGTAGTAACAGAGAGCCTTTTACCTCAGTGTGGTTTGCAGGGGGCATCTTCCCTCTGAGGTTTTAGTGGTATATTCAATGAAATGCCTAGTCTCTAGTATACTTTTCCCAGGTTTAAAAATAGAGTGATAAGGGCTAGGAATGTGGCTTAGTGGTACGGTGCTTGCCTAGCATGCATGAGGCCCTAGGTTCTATTACTGGGTACCAAATAAACAAATAATAAATAAGATAGAATAAGAGTAATAAATCAGCACTGAAAGTCAACTGCTATAAATGATATGTGGGATCAGTTAGATCACAAACCACAGCCTAATTTTCAAAACATTTCCTGTTGGACTACCCACAACATTTTTTTGTGTGTATGTGTTGGTCCTGGGGCTTAAATTCAGGGCCTCAGTGCTATCTCTGAGCTTTTGTGCTCAAGGCTAGTTCCTTGAGCCATAGCTCCACTTCTGGCTTTTTGGTGATTAATTGGAGATGAAAGATTCACAAACTTTCCTGCCCAGGCTGGCTTTGAATCATGATCCTCAGATCTCAGCCTCCTGAGTAGCTAGGATTGCAGGTTTGAGTCACCAGTGCCTGGCCACCCACAACATTTTAACAGATGCCTTTTGGAAATCTTGGGAGCAAAATAGGTCCCCCATCAGCATATAAAATTAAATCCAAAGAAAGAAAAATATAGAGTGAAAGGATTGAGTGTTTTTTTTTCTTCTGACTCTAAGAGAAAGATTGGGGAAAATCTGGAAATCTTCAGAGAAATATTTATAGTCACAAAAGTGGGAGAAAAAAGCTTTTCTCATATACATACCCTAAGAAAGGTTGGATTCTGAAAGTGGTTTTTCAGTATTCACTGATGCAATATCTGTGGCTACTTTTGAGTATGATGTTTGTTATTCCTTATTATGAGCACTGATTGTTAGTGTAACTTCTGCCTTTGGTAAGGCGGAGAAATTTCATGAGAAATTAGTAAAAGGACTAAAGGACAAAAATAAAGAAATAGCATCAAAGAAGCCTCCTTTGTTGGGGACAAAATGAACATGACTGGTGCTGCCTTATTGGAAAATGTTGCTATTTCAAATCTGAGGCCTCATCAGTGGCAGGAAGACCAGAATGGGAAACTGGGAAAGAAAGGAAAATTATTTTGATTTTTTTTAACTTTTTTTTCTTGAAAATTTTATTATTAAAAAATCAATAGTACAGAAAAGAATTTTACAAGAACCAACCACATGGCTCAATTAAATCCCCAATACCACAATTTTTTTAAATCAGCAAAAGAATTACACAATGATATGTATATATACATATATGTGTGTATGTATGTATGTATGTATATATATGTTCATCTCCATACCCATGAGGGAGGAATTTTTTAAAATTTTAAATCTGACAGTTTGTTTCCAGTGAGACTGAGTTTGACTTAAATCAAAGAAATGTACTTGAATCAACAAATGGTTTCCTAACACTCTTCCTAAACATTTATTCTGGGAAAACCACAGTGGTTTACTGTCACTCTTGCATAAAATGATAATTCCCAAATCAGGGGTTTCTATAGGTCTGCTTCTATTATCTGCTGTTTGGAATGCTTTTCTTGGTGTTTAATTGGAGATAAGAGTCTCATGGACTTTCCTGCCTAAGCTTGAGTCAAACAGCAATCTTCAGAGCTCAGCCTTCTGAGAAGGTAGGATTACAGGTATGAGTCACTGGTGCCTGCCTGGAGGTAGGATAAAAACAAAGCCACTTTTACCCTTTACTCCTGGAAAAAATTACTCAACAGGAGAGCTAAGTAATGTAAGAGATGTATGATGAATTACCAAATCCATATATTCATATTAATATCATTCAGATGTTTTCTGACCTGCAGTTCTCTGCTGCGTAGTTTTTTTTTTAATTCTTTCATGAAACAGAAAGGTTTGGATTTCTTTGAAGTAAGTTCCCTTTCTGTGGTAGCTTTACTTTGCAGCCTCCTCTTTGCCTACTTTGGTGAACTTTCCCTTTAGTTTACATACTGCGCCTCTTATGGAAGCGAGAGCTGCTGGTGTTTTATGCTATTTTTTTTAGACATATTAACACTAAGACAGAGGGTCTCTTGCTTTCTTTTTTATTTTTTTATTTTTTTATTGTGGAAAATACTGTACAAAGGGGTTACAATTACATGGGAAAGATAGTGAGTACATTTCTTATCAAGCATTGTAGCCTCCTCCTTTGTTTCCCTTTCCCATCCCATCCTCTCCCCCCCACCCAACACTCCTCCACCCCCCACACACCAAAGTTGAAGTTCATTTTCAACATAACCACTTGTATGTCTCATTGTTGCAATGGGTCCACCTGTATCCTTATTGAAACAATTTGTTTTTTCCCTTCCCCTCCCCAAATTATACCAACATCAAATAGGAAAGTAGTATGGAGGTTCCTCAAAAGACTCCACATAGAGCTCCCCTATGACCCAGCAATCCCACTTTTGGGCATTTACCCGAATGATCACAAACAAGGCCACACTAAAGCTACCAGCACAACTATGTTTATTGCAGCATTATTTACCATAGCTAAGATATGGAACCAACCCAGATG